GGTGGCTCGCTGCTTCGGCTGCAGCTGCTGGCTGGGGTGCCCGCCCCTTCTCTCGCGGCTCCAGGCGCCGCAAACTGCCTGTCCCGAGGTAACGGTATAAAAGCCGTAAACCCTCTTTTGTTGGAAGTGGAAGTAGGATGCAAATATGCAATTTTCAACTTCGAGCCTTTGAAAAACCACCCACGTCGGGTCAGGAATTGTTCCACCCGCGCCGGTTGTTTCTTTTCCTTTTTGTAGTTAATTGAAACGCAAACAAGAGCTCTGAATGTTCTGTTAGCGATCCAGGTAAGACTCGGGACTTGGCCCAAATCGCTAGATGCCGTGTTGACGGCTGTGTCGTACGGTGTGCTGGGAGCACAGAAGTGTGCGATCACACAAATATTTCCGCGCCGCAGGGGCTTTCTGGCAGGCAGCTCCCCTTGCCGCTATAGCTCCGGCCCGAGACGACAGAGCTCGGAATGTTTCGCGTTCCCCTTTAAGACCTGTTCTCAGCTGAAGTGCCAGAGGGGGGGTGCCAGTGTAATTACACCTACAATTAACGGGTTTTTGGGTAGGTAACTTTGATAGGCATAGGCCCTTGTCTGTGGTTTTGCTGCCTTTCCTGCCTCCCCCTTGACGCACGCAGAGCTGCGCGTGCTCTTTCCTTTCTACCCCTCCCCTAGCTGACACAGCTATGCTGGCAGCCTTTAAATAAAATCAGTGTTTCCATGCCTGTGCCTTAAAGAGAGTCAGGGAGAAAGACCAAAGTGATAACAGGCGAAAAGCTTACGATATATACAGTTTGGGAGTCTATCAAAGTAAATGGTAAACCTATATATTAATCAAATTAGTCATTAAGGAGTAAATATGTTGCATTTTGGCTTTCTAAAAAATTCAGAACAAAGGAAGTTAGTTACAGCTCAAAATAAAGCAGACTTTTCTTTTTTCTTTTTAGCTTAATTCAGTTTTTCAGCAAAATGAAGAAGTGGATGGACATGTCAAATCTACCACAGGAATTCCGAGAGCGAGTGGAGAGGCTGGAGAGAAACTTTGAAGTGTCAACTGTGATTTTCAAAAAGTTTGAACCAATATTTTTGGATATATTTCAAAACCCTTACGAAGAAACTTCTAAATCACAGCGAAGCAGGAAACAGAGGTATTTTTGAGATTTAATGTAACTTTTCCCTGGAAAGGGCTATACCTAATACAGATTTATGAAAATTAAGGTCACTGTCTGTGCTTTAAAAAGTTATGTAAAGTTCCGAAGCGATAGGGCCTCTTTGCGGCCTTGATTCCGAAATGTAGCAAATACAGAAACTTCCCTAATCTTGATGGGGTGCGGCTCGTATCAGCAGAGCTTTGCGTCCGGTGGCTGCTTGCGCAGTTCACTGTAACGTGCAGGAACGGGCCCCTAGTGAGAATGTTTGTGTGCGGTGGGGAGAGGTGCGGTGAGATGGATTAACCTGGGATACAGCGAGACCGACACTTAAAACATTTAGCAGAAATAACTTAAGTAGAACAGGGGTATTTTGTCTTGGGGAAAGTACTGGCTGAGGTAGTTGGTATCGTGACATAATCCCTCCGTACAGAGCGCCGCTGCATCCACAGTGACGTCCGCATTACTGGATTTTTAACGTGATTTCCAGATGAGTGGTAACACGCAAATGGAAGAAAGTTACAGGGGATGCGCTCATTTTTATGACAAACTTAGTAACTGGTGGTGTCGTCTTCCAGACGCACACAGAACTTCTGCCTTAATTAAAGGAGCTTGCCCGTGTTCCCTGCCGACTGCGCGGCTGTCTCTGTGGTAGCTTTTATAGTGAGAGTGTAGCCTTAATGATGAGGGCGCCGAGCTGGGTCTGTGCAAGGTACTTCTGCCAGCTCACACGTGTCCTCAGGATGTGATGGGGGGGATAATTGTTCTGGTAAAACGCTCCAGCATAGCTCCACGTCTACAGGTAGAAAGGATACTTCCAGCTCCGTGGTTTTGGATAATCTCTGCTCCAAACACGATTCAGCAGATGAGCTGTAATACAAGCTGTAGTTGCATATTTTGAAGGGATGACTGATGCTTTAGTAAAATACTTAGGAAAAACTGTCACTGGAATTTATATAAGCCCTTGGCGTCTCACCGCCTGCAGCTGCGGGAGGATTCTGTTAGAGATGTGACACCTGCAAAACAGAGTGTCCAGGGTCACGGGCCAAAGGCAGCCATTAGCTCAAAAAAGGGTCAGGAGGTCAGGGAACCCCTTTTTGTAGTTAATTGAAACGCAAACAAGAGCTCTGAATGTTCTGTTAGCGATCCAGGTAAGACTCGGGACTTGGCCCAAATCGCTAGATGCCGTGTTGACGGCTGTGTCGTACGGTGTGCTGGGAGCACAGAAGTGTGCGATCACACAAATATTTCCGCGCCGCAGGGGCTTTCTGGCAGGCAGCTCCCCTTGCCGCTGTAGCTCCGGCCCGAGACGACAGAGCTCGGAATGTTTCGCGTTCCCCTTTAAGACCTGTTCTCAGCTGAAGTGCCAGAGGGGGGGTGCCAGTGTAATTACACCTACAATTAACGGGTTTTTGGGTAGGTAACTTTGATAGGCATAGGCCCTTGTCTGTGGTTTTGCTGCCTTTCCTGCCTCCCCCTTGACGCACGCAGAGCTGCGCGTGCTCTTTCCTTTCTACCCCTCCCCTAGCTGACACAGCTATGCTGGCAGCCTTTAAATAAAATCAGTGTTTCCATGCCTGTGCCTTAAAGAGAGTCAGGGAGAAAGACCAAAGTGATAACAGGCGAAAAGCTTACGATATATACAGTTTGGGAGTCTATCAAAGTAAATGGTAAACCTATATATTAATCAAATTAGTCATTAAGGAGTAAATATGTTGCATTTTGGCTTTCTAAAAAATTCAGAACAAAGGAAGTTAGTTACAGCTCAAAATAAAGCAGACTTTTCTTTTTTCTTTTTAGCTTAATTCAGTTTTTCAGCAAAATGAAGAAGTGGATGGACATGTCAAATCTACCACAGGAATTCCGAGAGCGAGTGGAGAGGCTGGAGAGAAACTTTGAAGTGTCAACTGTGATTTTCAAAAAGTTTGAACCAATATTTTTGGATATATTTCAAAACCCTTACGAAGAAACTTCTAAATCACAGCGAAGCAGGAAACAGAGGTATTTTTGAGATTTAATGTAACTTTTCCCTGGAAAGGGCTATACCTAATACAGATTTATGAAAATTAAGATCACTGTCTGTGCTTTAAAAAGTTATGTAAAGTTCCGAAGCGATAGGGCCTCTTTGCGGCCTTGATTCCGAAATGTAGCAAATACAGAAACTTCCCTAATCTTGATGGGGTGCGGCTCGTATCAGCAGAGCTTTGCGTCCGGTGGCTGCTTGCGCAGTTCACTGTAACGTGCAGGAACGGGCCCCTAGTGAGAATGTTTGTGTGCGGTGGGGAGAGGTGCGGTGAGATGGATTAACCTGGGATACAGCGAGACCGACACTTAAAACATTTAGCAGAAATAACTTAAGTAGAACAGGGGTATTTTGTCTTGGGGAAAGTACTGGCTGAGGTAGTTGGTATCGTGACATAATCCCTCCGTACAGAGCGCCGCTGCATCCACAGTGACGTCCGCATTACTGGATTTTTAACGTGATTTCCAGATGAGTGGTAACACGCAAATGGAAGAAAGTTACAGGGGATGCGCTCATTTTTATGACAAACTTAGTAACTGGTGGTGTCGTCTTCCAGACGCACACAGAACTTCTGCCTTAATTAAAGGAGCTTGCCCGTGTTCCCTGCCGACTGCGCGGCTGTCTCTGTGGTAGCTTTTATAGTGAGAGTGTAGCCTTAATGATGAGGGCGCCGAGCTGGGTCTGTGCAAGGTACTTCTGCCAGCTCACACGTGTCCTCAGGATGTGATGGGGGGGATAATTGTTCTGGTAAAACGCTCCAGCATAGCTCCACGTCTACAGGTAGAAAGGATACTTCCAGCTCCGTGGTTTTGGATAATCTCTGCTCCAAACACGATTCAGCAGATGAGCTGTAATACAAGCTGTAGTTGCATATTTTGAAGGGATGACTGATGCTTTAGTAAAATACTTAGGAAAAACTGTCACTGGAATTTATATAAGCCCTTGGCGTCTCACCGCCTGCAGCTGCGGGAGGATTCTGTTAGAGATGTGACACCCGCAAAACAGAGTGTCCAGGGTCACGGGCCAAAGGCAGCCATTAGCTCAAAAAAGGGTCAGGAGGTCAGGGAACCTGTGCGAAATGCTCCGTGGAGCGAGGTAGGAGACTGTCGGTTGGTGAAAGCTGAAATAAGGACGTGTAGCTTAGATTGTGCCTTAGTGTGACATTACGATAGACAACGGCTCTGACTGTTACTTGGAGCAAGGAAATGGAATGAAATTCTTACTGTAAAACAAGCTTCAGCTTCCTGGAACTGAAGACTGACTTCTCCCCCCTTTTCCTCACTGATAGACGGGTGCCATGCGGTGTTAAAGATCTCTTCAACTTCTGCTGGACTCTCTTTGTGTACACTAAGGGTAGGCTTGCTTTTTTTGGCTGCATGGTTTGTATGCGTTCTGAGTTATGAACTTCTTTTGTGTTGCTTGACGTGATATGCTGTCTCTTAAAGGTAATTTCCGTATGATTGGAGACGATTTAGTAAATTCCTATCATTTGCTTCTGTGCTGCTTGGACCTGATTTTTGCAAATGCCCTTTTGTGTCCAAATAGAAGAGATTTGCTAAATCCATCGTTTAAAGGTACGGTGGGGACAGATTATTTAAAATCAAATACGCTTTGTTCTCTTGTTTCTTTTTAAATGAAGTTGAAGGTTGGTTGTCTTTTTTCTCCCCCTCCCCTCCCCCCCGCCCTGCCCCCCTCCTGCCTTGGTCTCAGGCTTACCAGCGGACTTCCACGCGACAGAGATCAAAGCCTCTGAAGATCCTCCTTGCATCATTGCCACACTATGTGAGCTGCATGACGGGCTTTTAGTAGAAGCAAAAGGAATAAAGGAACACTACTTTAAACCATACATTTCAAAACTATTTGATAGGAAGGTACATCTTACTAGTTTTAAGAATGCATGGTGGTGCTCAGGTGAATGGCCTCGAGACCATTTAAATCCTGCAGGTTCTGTAGGAAAGTGTCCTAACAGGCAAATGAACTTGGGCTGGGTCAGGTTTTCTTTGTATGTATTTTAGCAGGAGCAGAATTTACGCTCACTTTTAATGATGTGTGCTGTGAGGTCCCCTGTGTTTTGGCTTTTTATGTTGGTGGGGCATCTTTGCTTTCCTTTCTTGGCAGTGTGAAACTGAATTGTGGACGATAATGTTTTCTTCAGGCAAAAAAGTAATCTCATTGTGAAATAATTTTATGGGTAACTGTCACGATAGTGCAGGTCCTACTGCTTGTCTTGGAGTTCAGCAAAATGCTTTGGAAGGAAGAGGTTGAGGTTGCAGGTGTACAAATTGTTCTGTCTGGTTTTGATCCTGGAGATTTTTTCCAAGCTCTGTGGAAGTTTCTGTGTAGTCGTTCATCAGATCAGCCCCTAACCCGCCAATGGAACAGCTGTTAAATAGCAGTACTGTTTCTGAAGAGTGCGTTCATCTAGAGCTTGGATAGAATTGGGCTTTGTCCTCATCTGTTTGTCTTGCTAATGGCATTGTAGTCCTTTGGTCTAGGCAAAAAAAAGTCCGGTTATGCTCCTAAATCTTATTTCCTTTTTGGCTAAAACCATCATGCCCTCACACTGTTAGAGTTGGAACAGTTTTGATTTTATTACGCAAGATATTTCTGCTTTTTATTCTTAGATCTTAAAAGGAGAATGTCTGTTGGATCTTTGCAATTTTACAGAAAATAAGTAAGTCACAGCTTATGTTCTTAATCATGGGGTTTGGTTTAATTTCTAAAATACAGGCCTTTGCATGCGAAATCTCTTTATCTTACCATAACTAACGTTTTTTAATTATTTGACAATCAAAGCTGCTATCTGGCTGAAAAGCTTTTGGATCTGAGATGTGTCAAATGTCAGGGGGTCAGCTGCAGAGTTTCTTCCTTGATGTCAGGTTTTATGGTGCTTGCCCTTATTTTCTGGCAACTGTAACCTTTGAGTAATCTAATGCAAATCAAAACCTTGACTCTGAAGTTCAGGGATGTGTTTCTGTACACTCCTCAAATATTATACCTGAGTAGGGAAGTCTTTAGATTCATTTATCAGTCTCCAGCTGAGTGTATAAATCTGTGAATGCAACAGAAGAATCAAAAGAAAAAGAAGCAGCAATTGCAAAACCACAAAAAAGAGGTAGAGCGTTTCTGTGGGAGGCAAGTATAGTTGTTTCAGAAACTTTTTAAATTTCACTTCTGAAAGCTAATTTAAATGCAAAATATGAACAGCAGCTGCGTTGTTCTGGATCCCTTTAAGGGTTTTTTGCCTTTTCCAAAAATACCTAATAATTTGTTTTTGGAAGGTGAGGTTTTAACTTGTTAGTTTGCTAGCTAATTTTGAGCAAAGACTCAATTGTTTTAACAATGTAGATAACACTCACATTTAGATGTAAAACGGTATTGCTGTGATCTACTTGAAGCAGTGAACTTCTCTTAGTATTTCTACTTAAAAAGGGGAGGTTTTAAGTACGAAGGAAGGCAGGGACGACTGCAGCCAGATTGCTTGGGGTAGTGAAGTTTTGGTTACAAGCAGCACTGCTGCTGAAAGCATTAAGCGCTTTGAACGCATGTTGGTTTTGGTTTTGCACCTTTGCTCCACTGGCACCTTTTTTGTTTCTTCAGCAGTTTAATCTTTGATAAAAAACCTGGGCTTCTCTTTCAGCAAAGCACTGAATAAAGAGTATGAAGAGTACGTTCTGACAGTGGGTGACTTCGACGAGAGAGTTTTCCTAGGAGCTGATGCTGAAGAAGAAATTGGCACTCCTCGAAAGTTTCCTGCAGACATGCCAGTAGGGAAAACAGCAGCAAGAGCTCATGTGGAGTGTCATCTTCAGCAGCATTTTGAAAAGGTGATTCATTTAACATGTTGATCTCACTTGAAGTACTCCTTCAAGTTTTTCCATCCTTGTACGCTATTTGAATCACTGAGGTGACTGAATTTCTTGAACTTCTTCCTGAGAGGAAGACGCTGAATGCCATTTGCAGGCTTCAGTGGATGCTGCCTTGCTGAGGAGAAATGGTGATGTCATCTTTACTGTGGAGTTTAGTAAATAACAATTCCGTAAACAGGATGAGAGCACTTTCATGAGTGTAGTCTGTTTTTATCCAAGAAAGATGAATAAGTAGTTAAGATCTAAATATATAGGTCTTATGGTTTTGTTCAAACTTCATTTATACCCCATAAGAATACCATGAAACCTTTACACTGGATGAATTTATTTTTTTTCCCCGATATTTCCTTTTTTAGGACAGGAAAAGTCAACTTGTGTACTATTCTATGGAAAATAACATTCAAGACCCAAAACCCACCAAAGTCTAACTCTTCATTACAAAAAGTAGCCTATAAACAGAGTTCATGTTTCACTGTGTTTAAAAATGTAAAATGTATTTAATGAAGTTGGCATGTGGGAAAACACTTGATTGATTACTTTTTAAACTTGGATAAGGGGAAAAAAAGGTGCTGGCTATGTGAAAGAACCACATGCTGTTTGATTTACATGTCAATTAAAAATTAAGAATACTTATTACAAGATACTAGTGCCGGTGTAAATTAATCACATGGCTTAGCTTTTTCTCCCAAATATAACTGTATTTCACATTCAGGCAAATTAAAGACAGGGGTTTGGAATGAGTTTATCAATTTTGAGCTTCAGTTTCCGTAGTATAATAATGACCTCATTGGTATTTATGCATACTGACTGCAGGCTTAACCTTTCCTCATTATTTGCCTTGTGTCTTCAAAATGTAGTCTGTTGTAATAATTCAAAACCAAATACTTTATAGCATCACTTTCAGAAAGCAGGATACAAATAGGCAAGTGCAGTAGACACAGCTCCATCTGCTTAGTGCTACATCATTCTTTGGTTAAGGGGAGGCTCTAGGTCCACCAGGACAGCCTTTGCCAAAGAACGTTTTCTTGTGACCCTCTCCTAGGCAGCTCCGCCACATACTCCTTGTGTCACCCAACTAACGCAGAATGGAAGCATATGCTTTCTCTTTCTTGCCCTGTATTTTTCAATGTTCAAGTGAGCTTAAAAATTTACAGGCTTTAAGATTTAAAGTCTCATTTTCCTATATTTTATTTAAAAAAAAACAACTTCGAGTTAATTTTAGTCTGCCTGAAGATTTGTTATATTTTGTATTTATGGAGTGCTGTGAGAACTTTTAACTAATTTTTAGTCAGTTCTGAGATCACAGGTTTGATGGCAGCCTTCAGGTAATGTACTAGTGTTGTCATTTTAATCTTTGGAGTGATTTTGCAGGAAATGCTCATTCGAAAGTTTTCTGAAACAGTTCTGTTGACTGATTTTATTTATTATTTTTCTCTGACAGAAAAGGTCATTTGCACCTTCAACTCCACTGACTGGAAGAAGATACCTACGAGAAAAGGAAGCTGTCATCACTCCTGTTGCTTCAGCAACACAAAGTGTGAGCCGGTTGCAGAACATTGTGGCTGGATTGAAAAATGCACCGAGTGAACAACTTCTGACTATTTTTGAGTAAGTACATCCAGTGCAGCTGCTCTCATACAAACAGAAACTCATCTTTTCATGCTTGTGACTGCTTTCTTGCTCAAATTTGACTTTTTTTGTTTGGTGCAGAATATTTTTGTCTGTGTTTCTGTATTATTTCTAGTTGAAAGATCTTCGGTTTTCTAGATGATCTCATCTTCTGGAGAAGGATAGGTGAACACACACGCACTCCTTCCGTCTTGTCACGACCATTGTGTTAATGTGGCTTCAGTTTTTGCTAATGTTAATTTAGCTGTTTGCTGGAAAGTGAAATACTTTTTGTTCGTTTGATTTTTTTAAATTTTAAACAAGTATGGCCAACTATGTTGGCAGAGGTTTTGGGGGAGCAGGGAGATGTTAGAGTCAACAAGCTATAATCTTTGCCTTAAAGAGTTGGGAAGATAAGACTAAAAGCAGCCTAAAGGCTCCCCATTTCTCCTTCATACTACTTCAGGATATCTTAATCTAACTTTATAGTATATATATAAGCCTAGCAGTCACCCTAATTATTGTCGATGCTGATCTCTTGTATAGCAGCAGCCATGTTTTGCACTTCTCTAGTTGTTCTGGTGGCCGTTCCCTGAGCATGCTTCAGCTTATCGGTTTCCTCCCTGAGCTGTGATGTCTGTCCTAGGGCAGGCGTCCCAGCAGGAGTTAGAGCATTCCTAGTCAAGAGCCTCTCGCTCAGCCCTTATAGCTGCTGGATGATACTGGGAAATCATAATAAGTGACTACTGAACACAACCCCAGTCTTTCATGATCACTTTTTCTAGGATGGAGTCCCAGTTATATAAATCAACCTATATTTTTGGCTCCTGGATGCATGACCGCATACTGGCTGTAGTGAAATGCATGTGAAAATGTTGGTGCATAAGCAGATGAGTATAAACAAAATAGTTTATCAGTAAAAGGTAGATCAGTGTTGCTTCATATCTCATAAAAAGCAATAATTTAATAGTAAATACCTGTAAAGCTGTTGGGTGTTTGCCTAACATCCATGCAAATTAAGGCCTTGCTGTATTATGGTGTAAGGTCTCCAGATATCTCCAGTATCCGGGAGGTTCCTGGAACGCGTCAATAACTTCCTTCTCCAAGTGGTAGAGGAGCCAACGAGGAGAGGTGCTATGCTGGACCTTGTTCTCACCAACAAGGAGGGGCTGGTGGGGAATGTGAAGCTCAAGGGCAGCCTGGGCTGCAGTGATCACGAAAGGGTGGAGTTCAAGATCCTTAGGGCACCAAGGAGGGCGCACAGCAAGCTCACTACCCTGGCCTTCAGGAGAGCAGACTTTGGCCTCTTCAGGGATCTGCTTGGTAGAGTGCCATGGGACAAAGCCCTGGAGGGAAGAGGGGCCCAAGAAAGCTGGGTAATATTCAAGGATCACCTTCTCCAAGCTCAGGAGTGATGCATCCCAACAAAGAGGAAGTCAGGCAAAAACACCAGGAGGCCTGCATGGATGAACAGGAGCTCCTGGACAAACTCAAACACAAAAAGGAAGCCTACAGAGGGTGGAAGCAAGGACAGGTAGCCTGGGAAGAATACTGAGAAATTGTCCAAGCAACCAGGGATCAGGTTAGGAAAGCTAAAGCCCTGATAGAATTAAATCTGGCCAGGGACATCAAGGGCAACAAGAAAA